GGGGATTTTAGAGCAGGAGGGTCAGCATGGACAAGGGCTGGGAATCAGACAGGAGCCCGAGAAATTCAAGGGACTGAAAGGACATGCATCATAAATCTATGTGGTGGGCCTGGGGGAAGGGGCATTGCAAACAGGGCGAGGATTGAGGCCAGTGCCTTGGAAGGGGCACTGTGCTGGGAACTCAAGGGAAAGGGGAACATATAAAACTGATCTCAGCAAACAGCCAAGAAAAGGTGGAGCAACTTAAAATCCTTTCATAGATGAATGCATAACAAAATGTTGCATGTTGATACAATGGAATACGATTCAGCCATCACAAGGAATGTCTGACACCCTCTATAACACAGATCAATCTAGAGGGTCTTATGCTAAATGCAGTATGTTGGGCACAACAGGACAAATTCTATAGGATTCCATTGGTGCAAAATACCTAGTGTAGTCAAGTTTATAGAAACAAAAAGACAATGGTGGGTTCCAGGGGTTTTTTAATAGGGAAATGTTGTTAATGACCACAGATGAATGGTTTTTGTACATTAACTGAGCAAATTGAGGAATGTGCTTACCATTGCTTAGCACTATTTTGCTGCGCTTAAAATGGGTAAGATGGTAAAGTTTATGTTTTGCATTTCATCATATCATATCATTTTATCATATTTTTTTGTTCACAAGCCAGGTTGATATGAGTGACTATCACTTTTCCTTCCTTATCTAGGATCCCACTGGGTGATTGAAATTCTCTGTCTGATTCACTCCAAAGGGGATACCAAGTGGATTCAATCTGTGCCCATCTGGGAATGCGCACCCTGGTTAGAGACAGATGTGGGCTATAAAATGTTAAATGAGAGGGAGGGCCCACGGCTCCTGGCCTCTCACCTTCCCTTCCATCTCTTCCCCAAGTCTTTATTCACTTCCAAGGCCAAGGTCAGTGCCTAATGTTTGGTCAATGCCTTTTTTCCCTTCCATGTGCCTAGATAATCGCTGCAGATCTTGCTGGGAGTCTGCTTATTGGTAAATTGGGTGAGAAATAACATTCTCAGATATGAGGTGTGGTTGACGTGGCCACAACCAGACCACACTGAGGGCCAGGATGTGGACCATTACACAGACTACGTTGTCAGATTCAGGAAAGTCACAGGCTAATGCCAGAATCTTAGAAAAATACTCTCCTGTGCAAGCAGAATTTATAATCTACACGGGATTATCCCAGCCTTGCAGCTCTTTAAGACGTCAGCCTGTATTAATTCAATAAAAGCCTCCTGCCAGGTAGGTGGAAGCAGAGAGGTCAGTGTTGCCCACATGGGGAGCGGAGCACGCACACCACATTGATAAAGCATGAATCCAGGGGCGGCTCAGGACTGGTGGCCAGCTATGTCTCCATGGCAGCCCAGGGCACGCCACTGTGTTTTGTGATTAGCAGCCACTGCAGCCTCCCTCTGGTTGACAGAGGATCAGCACAGACCAGGGATATCCCAGATCTGACATGCCACAGACTCTCTTTAGAAACTCACCTTTTAAAAGTGTTTGTTGACTTCTGAAGTTTTTCATGGTTTTGTTTAAACAACACCAAGAAATCTAGAAAAATAATCTCCACTCTTGGAAATGTCAAAAAGTGTCTAACAGCGAGGCTGCCCCAACAGACCCACTTCCATGTCTCCTGTTGGTTTCTTTAACCCCTGCCTGATTAAACTGAGGTCTAAGGAGACACAAGACCTCCAATAACAACACCAGGGAAGTTGGTGCAAATACAAAGTCAATTTCTGATGTTCAAGTACAAAATGGTGAGTGTGTGTGTGTTTGTGTGTGTGTTCACTAATCTTGAACACCAGCCTCTTCCTGTGCACATACGTACACAGTTGGGAAACTATCACCCAGACCTGACAGACTTTTCTAGTATCCAGAAAGTCTTCCCACGCTCTTCCTACCAGTCAGTGCCCCACACCTGAGGAAACCACTCCCTGCACTTCAGCTACAGATGACTTTTGCTTATTCTTGAATTTTGTATAAAGGCATTCATGCAATTTAGATGTCACATCTGTGACATTCCTGGATGGTGTTGAGTGTGAGAATGACTGTGTGTTGCTATGAATCTGAATATACCAGAATTGATTAACCCATTCTGCTGTTAGTGATCATCCTGGGATAGCACACACACCCCTCCCCACTTACCATTTAAACCTTTCCAGCTGCTTCCCATGTGGAGTCGACTAATATCCCAGAAAGAAGAGACAAGGTCTTCCTCTTCTATTCCTGCACATGAATATGTAATAGGGATGTTAAAGTATTTCATTAATGAATGTTATAATTAATTCATTAAAGGAACCCATTGATGTTTATTAGTAGAGCTTAAGTAGTAACTGCCTGGATACAGATTGAGGCGGGAAATGACCAATTGAGGCTGATTTTTCATTCCTCATTTTTCTTTAATTCAAGGTGATATATCTTATGAGAAGTCCCAAAGATGTTCTTGTGTCAGGTTATTATCATCGGACTGTGACAAAACTGACTAAGAACCCAGAGTCACTGGAACAATATTTTCAATGGTTCTTGGAAGGAAACGGTGAGTGTTCTGTGACAGATTTGCTTCCTCTAGTCTCCTGGCCTTTCTCCTACTTTTGTGAAATCCCTTTTTAATTCTTTTTCTGTATCCTTTCCACATGTTAGGAAAACAGACAACCCTTGACTTTGTGAGTCTGGCTTGTTTCAATTATCATGCTGTTCTCCAATCCACCCATTTTCCTGCAAATGACATAATTTAGTTCTTCTTGATGACTGAGTATGACCTATCATGTGATGTGACATAGTTATTTGTCTGTCCTTCAGTCAGGGGACACCCAGGGTGGTTCCATACCATAGCTGCTGGGAGTTGAACTGCTACCAACATGGTTGTGCCTGTCACTGTAGTGCGCTGACTTTCATTCCTTTGGGTAAATACTATGGAGCTCTGTGACCAGATCACATGGTGGCTCCATTCCTAGTCTTTTGAGGAAACTCCACGCTGATTTCCATGTGGTTGTGCTAATTTCCAATCCCAACGGTGTGTAAGTGCTCCCTTTCACTCCCATGCCTGCCAGAATTCATTATTATTTTGTTATTGTGTTCTTGATGATTGCCATTCTAACTGGAGTGAAGTTGTTAAAAATGTTGGAATTTTTTTTTTCATAAAATTTTTGGCCATTTTCTTTCTCCTTTTAGAAATGATCATTCATTTGCCCACCTACTCATTGGATTATTTGGTTTTGGTGTTAAGACTTTTGAGTTCTTTATATATTCTGAATGTTAATCCTCTTTCAGAAAAGTAGCTGGCACAGATTTTCCCCCATCCCAAAGTCCTCTCTCCTCTGTCTTGATTCCTTTGCTGTTCAGAAGCTTCTTAACTTGGTGCCATTCAGCAATTCTTGGTTTTCCTTCCTGAGCATAGAAGTCTCTGGAGGAGGCTGAGCCTGCACCTGTATGTTGGAATGCACACGCTGTGTTTTCTGCTAGTCCTTGTAGTGTTTATGGTCCAGTCCTGTGTTTTTTCATCCACTTTGAGTTGAGTTCTGCAGGATTTCACTTCATTCTTCTGCATGTAGCTATTTAGTTCCAAGCAGCAATTATTAGACTGGCTATGTTTTCTCAGTATTGGCTGCTGGTGTCTTTGTTAAGGGTCAGATGATCCCATCTGTGTGGACTGTCTCTGTGTCTTCCATTCTCACCCATTGGTCTATGTGTCTGTCTTTATAGTTACAATTTTTTGTT